TGTGCAAAATATTTGTGCAAAGTTTAAAATGATCGCACCTACATTTGACATTTTCCCACAAATGTCATGTGCCATTGAAATCTTTTCAATCGCTGTCGGGATAACAACAACAGTATCTTTTAAAGATAAGATCTGTTGGTGTACAGTTTTGCACATGGAAAAAAACACGAAAATATTGTTGTACATACTGCAATCAATGGAGGAAATCTCTGCTGATTGAAATGTTTGCTTGGAAAATTGCATTAAATGCTTAGACTGTGGATGTGGTATCATATGGGAAGTTTCCATTAGAAAACATTAAATGTAGAGAAGTTGTTATAGCCAACTCCATGTATACATAGATTGTACCTAACACTTTTTTGGAATTATTTCCATCTTGTTATTAAAAAATGACCATTGGGTCATTTATTAATATGAGCGTTGGTATAAATTTCTTATATATGTTCGTCTTCGGACGCATCACAAGAAAGACGCATTTAAGGAGTTAATCACGCCTACGGGCTTAAAAAATTACAAAATGGCGCTGTGTTAAGTGCTCGCTTAACTTGCCACGTGTTTTATCGAACTAAACTAAAAAATATAAGAAAATCTCGTTCGTATGGTATATGGTCCTATACCTTCTATTCTAGCTGGAGGAGGACGTGCCTCCTGTTTTTAAAGAGAAAAACAATTTTTTTCTTATATTCTACTAACTTTGTTTTTCCAATTTCAGGGGATAAAAAAATAGTTTCAGAAACTTTTCAATACATGTCTCCCATAAAAAAGCTCCCGCTGATTTTTGGTATATTCAAGTTTCTTGAGTGTCTGTAATTTGCTATTAAATTATACTCTCCACCATAAGGTGGAGAGTATATTGAGTTTATCATTCTGTTAGCAGCATCTCGTTTTTCAATAGAATTTATTGTAATTTGGTATTTTGGGTTGTCATAAGATCCTTTTATCAAAAGTTATGAATATTATTCCTACTTTGTGCAATAGTCCCCATATAGAAGTACCTCCCAAATTTCGGTAAAGAAAAGGTTGTTTTCCAACCAAATAGGCTACAATTTTGTACTTTGGGTTCTCATTGGGTAAGGCATCTTCATTCTAAATATTATCAATATTGGTTCACTTTGACCTGTGTCAATTTGGTTTTATTCACATAAAAAATAATGATTATAATATGGATCTTCAGCGAGGTATGAAATTATTAACTTTCATGACTTTACACCTTGGCGAATATTGTCATACTATCCAACTAATAAATTGGTTTTTCGGTCCACTTCATCCCAAAATTAATATCTGATCATAACTGAAAATTAAAGCCTTTGTCCTTGACCATAACTTCGGTCCACTTCATCCCAAAATTAATATCTGATCATAACTGAAAATTAAAGGCGTTGTTCTTGACCATAACTGGAACCTTATGCAACATTTCAAAGCGATCAGCGCTGAACGCGTAAGCACCTGTAAATATTTACGTGTAACTACGAGTACATACGACAAAATAATTGGTATCGATTTAAAGGCCAACCACTCCTCTTGGATATCTTATAAAGTTCTCGACTATATGTCCTTCAGGGGTAAATATATACGTTACAGAATACAAAAGTGGGCAGAACACATCGTACATGCAAAATTTCGTAAAGATTTGTTAATAACTGTGGTATGTATCGTGTTTATAAATTATAATGGACAGACGGACACACATGTCTAGATCTACTCACATAGTCGTGATATGACGATCGGTATACTTAAGGGTTGGTCTAGAACCAATATTTCGCAGCGTTACAAACTCTTGGGCCTGCACAAAGCTATAAAACCCCGACAACATAGTTGTCAGGGTATAATTATTAATATTGTCCCAAGTCAGTATTTTGAGTATTTTGGACACATTTTTCAACCGAATTGGCAGTAATTTGGTATTTTGTATTATCATTAACTGTATAATCCCACTACCAAAAAATATCAACATTGATCTCTGTTTTATTATAGCCACATAGTAGATATATTGAAAATTTCAATCATATTTTCCTCATTTGTTTTTTGGTATGTTCAAGGTCATATCATAACATGAGTTTTCTCTTAGGAGCCCCCATTAATTTTAGATATTTTGATTGTCATCCTCATGGTGGAGAATAAAAAAGTTCGTCTGGGCTGAACTTAGCATCGTTTTTATACCCTTCACCACTCTGTGGTACAGGGTATTATGTCTTTGTGCATATGTTTGTAACAGGCAAAAGGAAACGAGATAGACACATGGTTCCTTTTGAGAATATGCATAGAATCACTTTCTGAGTCGATTTATGCATGTCCGTCCGTCCGTCCGTCTGTCCGTCTGTCCGTCTGTAGATGTTAAATTGTAAACAAAGTACAGGTCGCATTTATGATCCGATTTGAATGAAATTTGGCACAGGTCACTTATTTGGCCCAAGGACGAACCCTATTGAAATTGGGAAAAATCGGTTCAGATTTAGATATAGCTCCCATATATATTTTCGTCCGATTTAATGTAAATGGTGTACAAAAGTCCCTATATATCTTCCGATTTGCACGAAATTTGGTACAGCCTAATCATTTAGGTCTAGAATGATGTGTGCCAAGTTTCGTGAAAATCGGTCCAGATTTAGATATAGCTCCCATATATAGTTTCGTCCTATTTCATGTAAATGGTACACCAAAGTCGCTATATATCTTTCGATTTGCACGAAATTTGGCATAACGTACTGAATTGAGCCTAGAAAGATGTCCGCCAAGTTTCGAGAAAATCGGTCCAGATTTCTATATAGTTTCGTCCGATTTCATGTAAATGATGCACCAAAGTCGCTATATATCTTTCGATTTGCACGAAATTTGGCATAACGTACTGAATTGAGCCTAGAATGATGTCTGCCAAGTTTCGAGAAAATCGGTCCAGATTTAGATATAGCTCCCATATATAGTTTCGTCCAATTTCATGTACATGGTGCACCAAAGTCACAATATATCTTTCGATTTGCACGAAATTTTGCATAACGTACTGAATTGAGTCTAGAATGATGTCTGCCAAGTTTCGTGAAAATCGGTCAAGATTTAGATATAGCTCCCATATATAGTTTCGTCCGATTTCATGTAAATGGTGCACCAAAGTCCCTATATATCTTTCGATTTGCACGAAATTTGGCATAACGTATTGAATTGAGCCTAGAGTGATGTCTGCCAAGTATGGAGAAAATCGGTCCAGATTTAGATATAGCTCCCATATATAGTTTCGTCCGATTTCATGTAAATGGTGCACCAAAGTCGCTATATATCTTTCGATTTGCACGAAATTTGGCATAACGTACTGAATTGAGCCTAGAAAGATGTCCGCCAAGTTTCGAGAAAATCGGTCCAGATTTCTATATAGTTTCGTCCGATTTCATGTAAATGATGCACCCAAGTCGCTATATATCTTTCGATTTGCACGAAATTTGGCATAACGTACTGAATTGAGCCTAGAATGATGTCTGCCAAGTTTCGAGAAAATCGGTCCAGATTTAGATATAGCTCCCATATATAGTTTCGTCCAATTTCATGTACATGGTGCACCAAAGTCGCTATATATCTTTCGATTTGCACGAAATTTTGCATAACGTACTGAATTGAGTCTAGAATGATGTCTGCCAAGTTTCGTGAAAATCGGTCAAGATTTAGATATAGCTCCCATATATAGTTTCGTCCGATTTCATGTAAATGGTGCACCAAAGTCCCTATATATCTTTCGATTTGCACGAAATTTGGCATAACGTATTGAATTGAGCCTAGAGTGATGTCTGCCAAGTATGGAGAAAATCGGTCCAGATTTAGATATAGCTCCCATATATAGTTTCGTCCGATTTCATGTAAATGGTGCACCAAAGTCCCTATATATCTTTCGATTTGCACGAAATTTGGCATAACGTACTGAATTGAGCCTAGAAAGATGTCTGTCAAGTTTCGAGCAAATCGGTCCACATTTCTATATAGCTCCCATATATAGTTTCGTCCGATTTCATGTAAATGATGCACCAAAGTCGCAATATATCTTTCGATTTGCACGAAATTTGGATAACGTACTCAATTGAGCCTAGAGTGATGTCTGCCTTTTTTCGTGAAAATCGGTCCAGATTTAGATATAGCTCCCATATATAGTTTCGTCCGATTTCATGTAAATGGTGCACCAAAGTCGCTAAATATCTTTCTATTTGCAATTTGGCATAACGTACTGAATTGAGTCTAGAATGAATGTCTGCCAAGTTTCGAGAAAACCGGTCCAGATTTCTATATAGCTCCCATATATAGTTTCGTCCGATTTCACCCAAGTCTCTATATATCTTTCGATTTGCACGAATAGTCCTGTTTAATATACCCATAGTGGTGAAGGGTATCATATAGTCGGCCCCGTCCGACTTTACTACTTTCCTTACTGGTTATTTGTTGACATTTCGTCATAATTTTTAAAAATTGAAACCATAACTCGATAATTGTGTAAACGACATACAAGTAATTAAACACAGCATCAATAAAATAATATAAATATTGTATGAAAACTATGTTATGTGCTAACAAGGCATGACATGACAATAGTTTTATTGAGGCTAGTGGAATAAAATAAAATTCAAAAATAAAAAAAATCGGAAACTGAGAAAAACTGTGAAGACACAGAAAATATGGCAAACAATCAAATATACCAACAGACCAAATAAACACAACTTTCTCCCAAATGTTTATTTATTTATATATCTATCGTATTTGGCATGAAGCTGCTGCAACAGCAGCAGCAACAGAGATGCAATAATGCTAGACGCATTGGCTAACATTTGGGTTTTTGTTTACATTGTTTCTGCATCTTTCCACACGCTTAACAAGATTGAACCAAGCGTTAACTAAAAGTAAATTAATTTGTTCATACGATTGAATTCATTAAATGGGAATTAAAATAAACTAAATATTTAAAATTTATTTACACAGTTTTTAATTGTATTTTAATGTTATTGTTTTTTCCATTTTATCTATTACAGAAGTTTCGCCATATTTAGATTTAGTCTTATGTCCCATCCGTAACGAACCCTGGTCATGTGCCCGTCAACAATCTGGACGCATTTTGGATATCTGGGACAATGAACTGCATTCCCAGTGGCAAAAATTGAAAGGTAAGTTGCGAGCAAATCAAGACATTTCTTATATAATCTTTTGGCCACTTATTTTCTATTTTAAGTTATGTAATAAAATTTAATTAAATGTGAGAAAAAATACCTACCTACATGAGTCTCCGTCCATTAACAATAGCCTTTGACGTAAAGATGAACAGAAAAATAAATGAGTTATTACATCGTTGCCATTAACCAAACTCCTGTAAACGATTTATGTTTATTTATGCGCATGCGCGCACACTCAGGCATCACATATTTAATGTTCAAGTCATAAAGTGATAATCACCGTTACAGAGTTATCTGTCTGTCGGTCGGTCTATGGTCGGTTTTTGTGGTGACAGTGACAATAACAATTGTCGGTTAATGTCAAAATAGATGTGGTAGCAACGTTTAGTTGATTAATGCGTTTTTTTCTCGTTTATGTTTGCAGTAAATTGTATTAGGTGTAGGCAAAAGTTTGTGCTGTTCTAAAAATAGGCAAAGATAAAAAATATAGACAAAATCGACAGTTTTCGAAATATAACTACTTCGTCAAAATTGCCCACGTGGCGACTATTCCGCTTGAGCACCGTAGGTAGGTTCATTTTGGGTGGTATATCATAATTTGTTTGCCCGAAGTCGTCCGTAAAACTAAAAAAAAGTAGAAAACGAGTTACCGTGCATCATGCCATTGGGAGCTCTCAGATACCGTCTTTCATCAGCGACCTTATGGTCGGCCCGAATATGGAATTGATGGGTCATCCGCCGTACAGCCCTGACTTTGAAACCGACGGTTACTTTTTTAACTGCATATATAAAAACAACTGCTTGGTCAAATAATTTTTTCTTCAGAAAATGCAGTTGATGGGTTCATAAGTTTGGAGATTTTGTCAATTGGTTGGAGCTAACAAAAAATTATGCATGCTGGAGAAAAATATTTTTTGATAATATCCACGATATCATACAAATCCAAGCTAATTAATCTGATTATTCTAGTTAAAAGACTATACTAGTCGGACAGGGCCGACCATATGATACCCTACACAACTACCACAGAACTCTATCTTTCTGTGGATTTTTATTCCGAGCCTGGAATAGTTGCACCCCCTTTGCCGATTACAGGTCAACAGCACCTTTTATATTACCAATATTCAGTACAGCCCTTCTAACTACTTGTCCATATTTCCTTCACCGTGGATTGTGTTGTGATGTTCGGCTTATAATTGTAGCCTATACATCGAATCGAAAAAACACAAAAAAATAAGTTTTCGGTCCTCCTATTGGATATACTATCAACTTCTTGGGTCTATGTCCGTCAGGGGTAAATATATACGCTATAGAAAAAAAAATTGTTCATTTTTCACACAAAAGTCAGGGTCCATTTGAGCCGCTAAATATTGACCCATCTTTATCAAACAAGGCATGCTTATTCTTTGGCCCGATCCCCTTCTCCCAGTAAAATTTCGCCATGTTCGGACCATAATTGCGGCCTCTGGAGCGGCCAGAAAATCCTACAAAAATTAAGTATTTGGTCCATATCATCCCCTAAATATTAACCGATCTTTACCAAAAACAATTGGGGCCATCATTGGCCAGAACCCATCCTACATGCAAAATTTCATGAAGATTGGTCCATAACTGTGGCCTGTATCGTGTTTACAAATTATAATGGTCGGGCGGACGGACACACATGTCTAGATCGACTCGGCTGGTCGAGATATGACGATCGGTATACTTAAAGGTGAGTCTAGGATCAATATTTCGCGGCGTTATAAACTCTTGGGGCTGCACAAAGCTATAGCTCTGACTGTCCTCAAAAAATGTTCTTTAAAATTCACGCTTATAGCTCTAACTGTCCTCAGATTGTACAATTTATGCGGCGCTGATGGCTAGAGCTTATGCCAGACGTTAATGGTTAAGCTGCTTCAATATAATTGCTAGCGTTCTGCGAGCGTTATGCATGAATTTGGTCATGCGCTTCTCCGTATGGGTGCCATGTTTGCGTTGGTGCAGGAGCTTTACTGCAGGGATGGTTGTGTTAGAGGATTGCCGGGGGGATGCGAGCCTTTACGGACGAGGGATGTGGCTCTGCTATAATAGTTGTTAACAGTGACGTCGACTGTACTGTTAGAAGTAGCCAACCTGAGGGGGTGTGTGTGTCCGTTGAATGGGCGGGAGGGAAGATGTTGCTGGCTAGCATCTACTGCCAATTCAGCTCACCTCTGGAGCCATATTCAAGGTATATGGATACGGTACTACTCCTCGAGAGTAGTTGTCCGCTAATCCTAGGGCTAGATGCGAACGCAACCTCCTCGCTGTGGTTCTCCAAGATGACCAGGTCAACATCTGGTCATCGGAATCGCATCCGAGGAGAAGCGCTTAGTGAATGGGTGTTAGCGAGGGGCTTCGAGATATTAAATGAGCCCTCGGATCTGTATACCTTTGATGGTCCCTCCGGGGTGAGTGACATAGACGTGACGGCTGCAAATGGGGCAGCAATGACAGCTTACCAGTTTAGTTGGAGTGTTTGCGAAGACTGGGGTGTGAGTGACCATAATCTCATTGAGATTTTGGCCACTCCTAGGGGACGTACGCAGGGAACTGAGCGTTTCAGGGGTTGGAAGGAACGGGATGTGAACTGGGACCATTATGCGAACCGTGTCAGGGAGTTGGCTTTGCCACTAGTGGACTTTAGGGCACGGACCACTTTGATCGATTGAAAGAGAAGCTGACAACGGTCGTTGGGACCATCAGGCGTGTTTTGGGGACTGATTGGGGCTTGAGTAGGCGCTCGGTACGTATCATATATGGTGTGCTTTTTGTTGCCTGCGCAACTTATGGTGCACCTATATGGTACAGAGCTGCCTCTTCTGTCTTCGGGCAGAGGAAGCTCCTTCGTGTCAGCGGGTCGTCATGTTAGCGTGCTTGCCAGTATGTCGCACTGTTTCAACAGAGGCGTTGCAAGTGCTGCTTGGCGACGCGCCGCTTGATCTTGATGTGAGATGTAGGGCTATCATGTATAAGCTTAAGCGTGGTTTGCGGTTGGATGAGGATGATTGGCTCAGGCCTTCTGATTTGGTGGATGGGGAGAGTAGGCGGTACAGCACTATCCTTCGGATTGTGTTGATAGGTGGAGGACTAGGTGGACGAACAGTGACAAAGGGAGGGTGACGTACGAATTTATTCGTGACGCAACGTTCGTAGTGGACCGGCCAGACTTTCGCTTCGGCTTAAGTTCTGGTTTCTTACTGACGGGGCATGGCTCTCTTAATGCTTTTCTGCATAAAAGAGGCCTTGCCCAGAGGGATTTATGTGGGTGCGGGATGACCGAGGACTGGAAGCGTATACTGACGGAATGCTGTTACTATGACGACATTAGAGATTTAGCAAGTATGGGTATATCGAATGGAGGGGCGGGGTGGGATTTCAGTAGGGCACTTGAAGACGATCGGACCTTTAGTTGTTTAAGTAGTTTTGCTCGTGAAGCATTTAGGAGAAGGACTGTACTTAGTGAATGTGGTCCTCGTACATAACCCTCTTGCAGTTGAGTTTGGTCGGTTGCACCGGGTGGTGGTGGGTAGGTGCACCGGGTGGCGGTGCTGGTCTCGGTGCGGTTATCGGCGGTTGTTGGCAGTTGTAGGTGGTGTACGGGCTACCTGCGGTTGTCTGTGCATCGTTGGTGGTTCGCGGTTTCCACTTCTTGTGTTTCACTCGTACTGTGGATGTAGTGTAGGTTGTCCGTAAGGGCAGTTTTGTTCATTGTTTGTGTTGTGATGTCCGATGCCGCGGTCCGTTGGGGCCCTTGGTGCAGTCCGTGAGGACAGCATGTTAATTGTTTGCGAGGAAGGCCTATTGGCAGGAACTCACATAAACTCTTCAAGATACTTGTCCTCAAAAACTATTCTTTAAAATTCACGCTTATAGCTCTAACTGTCCTCAAAAACTATTCTTTAAAAATCCAAGCTTATTGCTGTGATAGGTATTTAAAAATATTATTTAGAAGTCAATAAAAATATTTCTTAAAATCCACGCTTATAGCTCTGATAGGCCTTAATTCCTAAAAATCCAACATATACCTGTGATAGACCTGTGAATATAGAGAAAAACGTGGTTTCGTGGGTTTTCCATTTGAAACTTGAATAAATTATTTACTTTATAACGGATTTATATTATTCTTTTTTTCTTTTTCAAACAAGATATATATTTGGTAAATCGGTTGAGGATTGGCTGAGTTACAGCGGTTGAAATGTGAAAAAATGCGCATAAAATGACAAAAATTATTTTTCTTCGGACTGTACGATGAAATTATGATATCACGGGGAAGATAATTAAATTAGCTTTCTAAAATGATAAAAATCGGTTAAAAAATGGATGACTTATACACATTATTGTATTGATTCTATGCATATTCTCTAAAGCAAATATGGGGCTGTGTCGTTTCCTGTTACAAACCGTTATGTTTGTAACAGGCAAAAGGAAACGAGATAGGCCCATAGGGACTACAACTAAACAGAATTGGTACATTAGAACCCCTGAAAAATTTTCGTGTCGCACAGTGTCATCAAGGCTTATAGCTTCGACAGTCCTCAAAAATATTATTTTTTTTAATTCTACGCTTGAAAAATATTCTTTAAAAAATCACGCTTATACCTCTGATAGGCCATTATAAATATTCTTTGGAATACCTACGCTTATAGCTCTGATAGTCCTCAAAAATATTCTTTAAAATCCACGATCTAATAGGCCTTTAAAAAATAATCAAAATCCAAGCCTGTACCACTAATAGGCCTTTAAAAGTATTAGATCTGATAAGACTCAACAATGTATTTGTTAAAAATCCACGATTATTGCCCTGATTGGTCTTGAAGATGGCCCAAGTTTCAGGGTAGCCCCTCATATAATAGTAACCTCCAGTATTCGGTATTCTGTGATTTTGGACACATTTTCCATCGAATTGGCTGTAATTGGGTATTTTGGGTTTTCATTGAATAACACATATCCGTACCAAAAATTATTATTACTATTGAAATTTGTTTCAGGGTAGCCCCCATATAACAGTACCTCCCAATATTCGGTATTTTGGGGATTGTGTACACGTTTTCCAACCCGTTTGGTTGTAATTTGGTATTTTGGGTTGTCAATGTATAGTATATTTCCTTCCTAACTGTTTTTAATATTGACCCACGTTAAAGGTATCCTCCACTAGGGGTTTTTTTGGCACGCTTTTCAATAAAATTGGTTGTAATTTCGTATTTTGGATTCGTGTAACGGTATCACCACATCTACCCACTGAAAGTTATTAATACTGACCCAAGTCGGTATTTTGATAATTTTGCACACGTTTTTCAACCGAATTGGCTGTAATTTGGTATTTTGTATTCCCATTGGCTGCCAAATGTCACTACCAAAAATATCAATATTGATCTCCGTCTTATTATAGCCCAATATAACTGTAGCGCCACTATTAGATATTTTGAGTATTTTAATCATGTTTTTCTGACGTTTTTTCGCTTTGTCCCTTCGATTTCAGTTGAAGCCGATCAGCAATTGAATGCTACGTTGGAGCGACGTGGCTATAGTGCATCCGATTTGGTTATTAAAGAAAAACCATCAACCATTTTGAAGAAAATTGAAATTGGTACCAACTATATGAAGGAGTACGTAGCAGATACTTTGGATGGGTAAGATAAAACAACAGGGGTTGTGGCAAACACAAAAGAAAGAGGAATTGATTTTAATTTTAATTTTTTTCAGATTCCTTGGACGAGAATATGATTATATACAAAATTTCAAAGTTCACAATGACATACAAAATGATCAGCCGGCCAGTGATAATGATGAGGTGGTGGACGAAAATGAAAATGATGATGAAACAGATGATGAGGACGAAGGAGATGATACAGATAATGATAATGGAGATGAGGAGGGTGATGATGAAGGCGATGAGGATGGTGATGTGAAAAATACCGCCATCATCAATGATAACGCTTCCAATGGCAATGAATTCATTGAAATCGAATCTCAAAGCGATGGTGAACACACGGGAACTGGTGATGTGAAAGACGCCAATGACCGCAGAAGAAAAAAGAAAAATCAGAATAAGAAAAAAGGCAGTCAACATGATATTCCAGCGCAGGCTGCTAATCTCTTGATTGTACAACCGTTAGAACATCACCTGGAGGAGGCCGAACATCATGTTGAGGAAGTTGTCCATAAGGTGAAACCGGGTAAACGAAAAATTAAACCGATTAAAGAGAAAAGACGTAAACGCAAGAAGAAGGGCCAAGCATTGGGTGATGACACCACAACAATAGTTGTTGAACAAGAACCGGCCTCGGACCTTGGACTTGGATTGTTGGATGCACTCAGCGATGTTGATATTCTGCAGGGAGGCGGAAAACGCAAAAAACGTCCACTGAAATATGGTAGAAGTATTGGAGGTGTGTGTTTGAATAACTTTTGTGCACCATTTCCTATCACCCGCATGCTTTGTGCTTCGTTATGCTTTTCTTTTTGTTTCTATTTTGTAGTTAGTCGAAGGAGAGTGTGAGAGAGGTTAACTTGTAGAAGGGAAAAGTAATTTGGTATGAAATTTATAAGTATATGTCGGTTTATCGACATATATTTTATATCCCGATATCCCTCAAAAATTCCCAATTATTTTTTATTTCAAATTTACTTTCTACAATTTAACCTAAAAATTTGTTAAAGTTGTATATACAATTATTTATTAATAGTATTTTATATTTATTCATGTATATCTAATACTCTTTTAACACGGCTCGGAGAGAACTATCTCTCTCTAATTTTACGTGTATAGGAGAAGTTTTTTTTAATAAATTCAGATTTAATAAAGCTAATATTTTGAATTTAGAACAGTGGTTTAAAATAAAAATATATTTCTAAATTTCAAAATAATAGCTTTATTAAATCTGAATTTATTTAAAAAAAACTTTTCCTGTAAAATTTCTAATTTGAGGGTTAGGTTTTTTTGCGAATATGGCTCGATATTACCACACTGAATGTTCTAAATTCAAAAAACAGGGTGATTCATAGACACCTAGTGCTACGAGTTATTATGTATAGCATTGCCATAAACCACAAATATGGCTGTACTGCATTATCGGCATTTTGTTACTCATGAAACAGGGTGCTGATGTTAATTCGTTCAAATTGGAATTCTTTGAACTGTTGTATTATTTTGGCCAAATATTGGATTTTTAAATGACGATAACAGGTATATAATAGCGAAGACAAACACCATACATACACTAGTTATACCTTCCACCATAAGGTGGAGTGTTATTTCTGTCAACATGTTAGGGTAGTTGCGATATTCGTTATTTTGGACACGTTTTTCAACCGCATTGGCTGTAATTTTATATTTTGGGTTATCATTGAAAAATACATATCCGTAATAAAAATTATTAAAATTGAAGGCCCCAGGGAAGGCCCCAGTATTCGGCATTCTGGGATTTTGGACCCGTTTTCAACTGAATTGTAGTTTGCAATTTTGGGTTCTCATTTAATAACACATCTTCGTACCAAAAATATTAATATTGGTCCATGTTTCAGTGCAGCCCCATATAACGGTATTCCCCAATAATCGGTATTTTGGAAGGGGCTTCCAACCGAATTGGATGTAATTTGGTATTTTGGGTTCACAATTAATAACACATCTCGGTATTAATAATATTAATTAAGTTTCAGGATATCCTCAAATAACGGTACTTGGTATTTTGAGGATTTAGGACGCGTTTTTCGATATTTTGGGTTCTCGTTGTGTTAAAATATTAGTAATTTGTAGTACGGATATACAAATTACTAATATTTTATGGTAGCCCTCATATAACGGTACCCCACAGTATTCGGCATTCTACGGATTATGCATACGTTTTGTAACCGAATTAGTTGTAATTTTGTATTTTGGGTTATCATTGAAGAACATTGACCCTAGTTTTTGGGTAGTCCCCATATAACGGTAGCCCCAGTATTCAATATTCTAAGGATTTTGGACGCGTTTTCCAAACGAATTGGCTGTAATTTGCAATTTTGGGTTCAATTATAATTATTGACTCACGTTTTAGGGCAGCCTCCATATAACCGTACTCCCCCCTAAACGGTATTTTATGAATTTTAGACGCGTTTTCCAAACGAATTGGCTCTAGTTTGATATTTTGGGTTCTCATTATGTAACACATCTTCGGGGTATTTCCCATTCAACGCTAGTTATATTTTTTTATTTAGGATTTTCACTGGGTACTAAATATTCCTACTAAAAATTATGAATGTTGAGGATTTTGTGCATTTTTGTCTACAAAATTGACTGTAATTTTGTATTAGGGATTCTCATTAAGCAGAACATCTCCCTACTTAAAACAATTTATAAATATTGGCCCATGTGCCGGTACCTTCCAATATTCGGTATTTTGAGGAGGTGGACACGTTTTTCAATAAAATTGTAAATATATATTTGGGCTGTAAATTGGTATTCCGGGATATTGGAAGTGAAATCAATTTTTTGCGAAAAATTTATATATATTGATCTAAGTTTTCATATAGCCACGTCTGATTTTCTGAATTTTGAAGGTTTTAATCGAATTTTCTCTTCGAAATGGCTACAATTTGACATAAAAGATTTTCTGGTGAATAACAAAACATTTCCTGAAATTATTTAATATAGGTTAATGTTTTAAAATAGCCCACATGTCCTATTTATTTTCGGTAAATTGAAATTCCTACCTAAGTTTTCCAGCCTGGGTTTATGTTTTGGTATCGACCCATTTTCGGTATTTTAAAGAATTTGGCTGCATTGTCCCACCGATATAGCTGTAATTTACTATAAACGATTCTTGAAGACTGACATAGCATCCATATAAGGGTAGCACATTCTTCTATTGTAGTGACAGTAATTTGGTATTCCGGAATATTGGAGGAAAAATCACATTTTTGCGGAAAATTTTCTATTTGCGGAAAATTTTCTATTCGGAATGTCTCACATTCCGAATATTGACGGTTTAAATTTAATTTTCTCATCGCAATAGTGAATAAAAACAACTTTCCAGAAATTATTCAATTTAGGTTAATGTTTGTCCTTTGAGTGTCTCGTAATGTTCTTTGAGTATCCTTTGAGTTGTCCTCCAATAAGTCTTCTCATAAAATTAGAAAAAATTGAAAGCTTCCTCCCAGAAAATGTTCAATATAGGTCGATTTTTTAAGGCTCCGCCAGTTTTAAGTACATTGAAGATCCTAGCCCAGTTTTCCAAACAAAGTGTCTGTAATTTGGCACTTAATTTACCCTGCCTATCGCTAACAGACAATTTAAAATGACATAGATCACATATCGATGCTAAGTCTGAAAAGTGAGTTTTTCAGTAGAAGCTCTCAAAGTATGGAAGTTTCTTATATCGTACGTGCAATGCTAAGTACATTTTTGCTTATAACTTTGGTTTGGATTGACCGATGATTACCAAAATTTCAGAGAATATAAATTAAGGACCGTATACATGCTAAGTCGACTTAGCATACTATGGTTCGGAGGCGTCGATATAAAAATCTAGACCGATTTAAGCAATTTTGAATGGCCAAGATATGTGTATCTTGGGTGTAGTATTTGTAGTCTTTCAGTAACTATTTTTGTACAGAGTATTCGATTAATTATCGAAACCATTTGAAACTATTTACATGTAATATAATATCAACTTTAATATATGGATTCGTTCGGAGTCAGCTGTACATACGAATTATAAATATTTTTTTATTATAGTTTTATTATTATTTTTTGTTTTTATGCTTTTTTTAGCTTCCTTGGATATTAACGCACTCAAAAACGCACCCATTACTAACAAACACCAACCTCCCAGTTTCAAATAGTTTTAAGCTCCCCTTACTTTCTCAAAAAACGAGTGATTACTAATGTGATTATTTAATTTTTTTCAATATTATAGTAACTCGTGGCAAAAAGAAGAAGAAGAAGAAGGCTATACAAAAATTTATTCTGCTTGGTTCATTCCTTAAGGCCAAAATTGAGCTGCTATTAAAAATTTTGGGAGCTCATTTACAAATTAAATTCTTTGCCATAGCTCTCATTGGTTTGCTGATAAATATTGCCCGATTTTGGATCGATGTTAAACGTGGCGGAGTGCCACAAAAGGTATGAATGTTTATTATCCATGACTACGATTATTACTTAGTTATTATTTTTGTTGTTGTTTTTGTTACTTTTTTATTAGTATTGTACATTTTGGTATTGATGTATTTTTAAAGATATTGTTTTTTTACTTTTAAAAATCAAAACTATTGACGGTATTGTGACCGACCGCCTAAAACTTGTAGCAATGTAGGAATTGACCATGTGGAAAATATGCACTGGTGTTTTATGATAGGATATAGAGAAATCCTAAATGATCCTTGTTGATCTAATTTTTATACCCTACACAACTATGTTGTCAGGGTATTATAGCTTTGTGCAGCCCCAAAGTTTTGTAACGCCGCGAAATATTGGTCCTAGACTCACCTTTAAGTATACCGATCGTAATATCTCGTCTAGCTGAGTCGATCTAGGCATGTGTGTCCGTCCGTCCATCCGTGTGTCCATTATATTTTATAAACACGATACAGGCCACAGTTATGGGCCAATCTTCACGAAATTTTGCATGTAGGATGGGTTCTGGCCAATGAAGACCCCTATTGTTTTTGGAAAAGATAAGTTAATATTTAGGAGATGAAATGGACCAAAAACTTTATTTTTGTCCAATTTTCTGGTCGCTCCAGAGGCCGCAATAATGGTCCAAATATCGCAAAATTACACGGAGAAGGGGATTGGGCCAAAGAAAAAGCATGCCAGATCGGTCAATATTTAGTGGGTCAAATGGACCCATATTTTTGTGTGAAAAATGACAAAATTTGTGTTCTATGGCATATATATTTACTTCTGAAGGACATAGACCCGAGAAATTGATAGTATATCCAAGAGGAGTTGTTGGCCTTTAAATTGAAACCAACTATATTGTCGTATGTGCTCGGATATGAGAGTTACACTTAAATATTTACAGATGCTCACTGTAAGGCTCCATGATGTGCCGGTTATGGTCAAGGACAACACCTATAATTTGCGGTGATGATCAGATAATAATTTTGAGATGAAGTGGACCGAAGCTTATTTTTATTGCGTTTTTTCAAGTCGATCTGTATGCCACAATTATAAGCAGACTATTACACTGGAGAATGAATCTGGCCAACTAATGATCTGTCACTATTCAATTCAACCAAGACCTTTCTGTGTAAAATGAAAAAAATTGGATATTATGATATAAAACATAATTCGAAAAAGATGTCATGGCAAGAAATAGGAGCTATTGACCTCTAATCGGTTAAGAGGTTGGAAATATCGCGAAATATTGCCCATTCTTGGAATATAAATCTGCAGAATGTTAGAGTTCCGTGGTAGTTGTGTAGGGTATTATATGGTCGGCTCCGTCCGACTATACTGCTCCGCTCACTGGTTTTATTATACCTTTGAGAAATTTTCAAAATGTGTGGGAATTATGGCTTAGCGATATACAGTGGCTCCATCGAATAATCGGACAAGTGGTTGTCAGATATAATAATGCTATACATTTCAAAAAAATTGTTTAAATGTGTAGTTTTTTTCGCTTTTATTTACACATTACTTACTTATATTTCTGAACAATACAAAAAACAACAACTTTCCTAGTGATAACATTAAATTTCGCCAGAAAAACAAAATTAACTCAATTTATTGTGCTCAACGCAAAATCGGACAATGCAAAGTATCAATGTCAAAAAATGCAAAAAATCGAGAAATTAATATTTAGTTGCATATTCTTTGTTGTCCAGAACGGCCTGTAAACGCTTCGGTATTGATTTGACCAAATTCTGGCATACCTCCGGCTCTATGGAGTTCCACGATTTCAGTAAAGCCTCCTTAAGCTGTACCAAGGAGTTACATTTTTTTCATACACTCTTCTAGCTAATTCTTCGCAAAGATGCTCAATTACGTTAAGGTCTGGGCTCTGTGCAGGTGTTTGTATAAGTTTGGGACAGTTATGGATCAACCAAAGCTTTGCAACACCTGATGTGTGCTTGGGATCGTTGTCTTGATAAAAGGCAAAGTTGTTCGCGATACCCAATTTGTCTGCACTTTGATTTACATTTTGTTTTAAAATGTTGAGGTAGACAAATTTGTCCATTTTACCATCAATAAAATGCAAATTGTATATTCCCGCACTCGACATGCAGACCCAAAACATAACAGAACCTCATCCGTGCTTAACAGTGGCTTTTGTATTCTTATGATTAAATTCAGCATTTGGCTTACGCCACACATACATCTTTCCATCTGATCCGTGCGAATTAAATTTGCTTTCGTCAGTAAACAGATCCTTAATATAATGGAAACTATCAATAGAAATGTATTTTAAGATGATCTATCATCAAATTACCTGCTTCCAAAAATCTTCTAATTTTAGTAAATACTCCTTGGCATATTTTATTCTACTGTTTTTATTTTTAAGGCTTATAAATGCTTTTTTTCTTGCAACTCTTCCATAATAATCATATTTATGTAATGTATTGCGAATAGTATTTAGGCACACAACTTTTCAAGTGCGAGTTTTTAAATTTATTTTAAGTTCTTTTGCGCTTTTAAATGGATATTGTTTTATTTCTTTTAATATCGAACGCTCTTCTCGCTCATTCAATATCTTCCATTGACCTTCTCTGCTTTTATTGGTCAATCTGAACTCATCACGGAACCTCTTTATAATGTCGTGGACAGTAGATTTATTCATTCCAACCAATACGGCAATTTCTCTTCCTTCATAATTCAATTTATCTATTAATTGTCTGATTTCCACACTGAATTTTTTCCCTTTTGGAGCCATTTAAATTTATTTTTATTTAGTTTTACCACTTTCTTGATCTAAATGCAATTTACAAATGAATACGACAAACAAAATACAGCTTTGAAGTTCATATTTGCATAATAACGGGACTTTTAACATTGATACTTTGTTTTGTCCGATTTTGCGTTGAACACAATAAATTGAGTTAATTTTGTTTTTCTGACGAAATTTACTTTTATCACTAGGAAAGTTGTTGCTTTTTGTATAGTTCAGAAATATAAGTAAGTAATGTGTAACTAAAAGCGAAAAAAAACTACACATGTAGACATTTTTTTGAAATGTATAGCATTATTATATCTGACAAACACTTGTCCGATTATTCGATGGAGCCACTGTATATATAGAACACAAAAAATTATCCCATGTAATACTCTCCTTATGGCAGAGTGTATATTCAATTTGTCATTCCGTTTATAAACTCGCCTTGAAATATGCCTCATATCATATATCGATATTCGCCAATTTTCGGAAGTGTGAGGATTGGTTGTCATTTGGTATTGGATAGAAAATCCGAACAAGAATTATTAATAACGGTCCATGATTAGGAATAGCTTCCAAATAACGTTACAACAAGATTTCGGTATTTTAAGGAGTTTGGACACTTTTTCAACTATCTTGAGGAAACTTTTTCAACTATGATGAGGTAGAAAATCTCTCTACCAAAAACTTTCAATATGGGCTCAAGTTTCAGCTTAGTCCATAGATTACACATCTTGGCAAATATATCTTCCTTTAAATTTTAAGTCTCAAATGATTTTAGGTTTTTTTGAATGTCTACCTCATGGTGGAGGTTATAAACAGTTCTACCAATTCGAACTTTATTGACTCAAGTTTCAGGGTAGCCCCTATATGTCTTCTACCAATTCGAACTTTATTGACTCAAGTTTCAGGGTAGCCCCTTTATGTCTTTAAGACTATTGTTCCGTATTTTGCGGATTTTGGGTACGGTTTTCAACAGCATTGACTCTTATTGGATATTTTGGGTTCCCGATTTGGTGTCAGGTCGCCCTACACAAAATTTACCATGGCATAGCACCCAAAAAGAAAAATAGTCCCGAAGTATTTTCAATGTCCACCTTATGAAGGCGTGCATAAAAAGTTTGGCCCTGTTGAAATTTAATTTTTATTATGTATATGTACACAAAAAGGTATTTCCATTTGGCTCTAAGCTGAATGACCACTTTATGATGGAGGGCATAGAAAAGTCGGCCCGTTCGAACTTTAATAACTCAAGTTTCAGGATAGAACCCATAATCAGAAACGTTTATTATTTTGGATTTTAGGTAGAATTGAATCTAATTGGATATTTAGGGTTGTCATTGGGTGTCAAAATCGTCCAATGTAAAATTTAACATGGCATAGCCCCCAAATAAAACCTTCACCTTCAAGCACCTTGCTTGAATCCTCCTTCGGCATTGAGAGGTCCTTTCCGTCTTTAACTGCGGTTAAAGTTATCCTGCATGGCCGTATTAACATTGTAGGAATACCGAACTCAGACATGGCTTTAAGCACCTCAGAACGAATGGCGCTGTCAAATGCGGAGCTATAGTCGATGAATAGGTGGAATTTGTCGATATGTTTTTCTTGAGTCTTTTCCGGGATTAGGAACAATTCCCAGTACAAAAAACTAATCAATATCGCCTTTAATTTCCTACAAATTATCATTAAATTTTCTGTTATTTCATAGAAAATCTCAATAGAAAAATTACCAATATAACATAGCCCTCAACTATTTGGGGTTTTAAGAACTCATTCCAAAATTTTGGCAACACATTACAAAATCATTCGTTTTGATTTTCTTTAGGTGGATTGGATAAATAATTGCAAAAGCCTATAAGTTTGGGCCCATTTCTTAGTTAGTAAGAACCCTCTTAGAAAAAATTATGTGTCTTTAAATTGACTTATTCTGAAGGTTTATCAGTAGGCCTATTCTGTAACTTTTTAACAATATTCGTTATTGTTTATTTTACAACAATTTCATTTGTTTGTTTTGTTGTTTTTACAATAAAAAAAGGAAAATTAAACAATATCGAATGTTGTTAAAAGTAATAGAATATGCCTACAGATATCCACAAATTAACGATTTTCTACATTGGAATAAGCTATCCAGTATAACTTAAACTGTCTATAGTCAATTGACAGCCCAATCAAAATAATGAAACTTGAAGAGCTATAGGAGTTAACATAGATTCCCATTACACTTATTAACAGAATTGACAGGACAGCATACAGGACACTTCACATGACAATTTTTTTATTTTTGTTTCATAATTAAACAAATTTAATACTGAGTTACAAAAGAAAAAAAAACATTTTCATTTTCCTTTTAAAATATAAGTTACATTCTCCATTACACTATGCACCATTACATACACCTAACAATATATATACATATATACACACATCACATACCTCTCTATAACACAACAACTTTCTTCACTACCTATCATTCCTCACAAACTACACAACATCAAGGGAAGGACAAAAGTGTGCGCTTTGGCCCCTTTTCCTGTCCTTACAGCCCTACCCCGGGCCCCCTCTCCAAACTGTAATAAGGTTTGGTTGTTTGTTTTGTTAAATACACCCGGTCTCTTTGGTATTTCCTTGGGTAATTTTTATTTCAAAGAATAAATCTTTCTAACAACAGGTTGTCTATGTTGAACATGCTCATCATCAGCATCACTATGAGGATCATGGCGAGGACTGGAGTGAATCTGGTGGTGGTGGTTACTGGAAGAGATCGCTGCAAACGGACACACCACTCGATGAATATGATTCGTCAACGGATAGCTATCAGCCGCGACCGGTGGAACCGCAGCAGGCCTATGATGCCCAATACATGGCCTATCGCAATCAGTGGCAGCGGAAATGAACTGAGGAGCCGTAGATTTTTTTATTATTATTTTAAGAAACCCCCAATCAAATTTTGTTATAAAAATTCTAAGTTTGGACTTTTAGTATAAATTAATATTTAAAATAGATATGTAAATATCTGTACAAAAACGACAAATTGAATATTTCGAACACGAAACAAGACATATTCTATATTCCCCTAAGGCCAATTATTTATTTATTATAATTTTATATAAATTGTGTTTTACACAAACAATTGTTTTTTTTTTTTTTTAATTAAAAAAAAATACTTAGTTAAATGTTTATTTATTTTATGTAATTTTAAATTATTTGTTAATTGCTATTTATGTATCTATCTAATCGCAACAAAATACCCAAAATAAAAAAAAAACGAAAACAAAAAAATCTAAAAATAAATTAAAATAATTTCATTTTCAATCTAAAACAAGGTGTATCTTTGTCGATTTCATTAAATATTGACCTAGATTTAATAATACCACCACTTTCTTTTTTAGGCATAGCCAGCACCACCCAGCCGGACTATAGGCACAGAAGCTATAGCAACAAAATCAAATAAAAATCAAGTTGAACGAAACAAACAACAAAATTAAAATAAAATAATTGTTGTACAAACAATTGTTTGAAACGTAGCCGTGTTTTATTTTCCCAAAATTCTAGTTCAGAATTTTAAGTAACCCGACGACAAACGGCACACGCATCCCATCCACAAAGAAAACAGCCACCCAGTCGCCCACAACAAATCCATCCGAATTGTTGCTGCTTTTCTTTTCTACGGCAGTTTCTTACTCTAATGACCCATTTACCCATCGGTAGTTTTATTCATACGAAAATCTTGTCCAAAATACTAAATTAGTTGTAGCTTTTTTTTAAAAAAAAAAAAATCGCACATAAAATTGAAATTTCATTGAACGGCTCGATTTGTAAATCAGATTCTTTGGATATTGCTGACGTTGGCGTTTATGTTCCACACCTCTAACATACATATTTTGACGTTTTGGTTATTTTGTTTTTTGCTTCTCATTACGTTGTCGTTGTTGTAGTCTTTGTATTTTTTTGCGGAAATTCATGATTCAAAATGACAACACAGCTACAACAAATATTCACGCATAAAGTCTCACCAAAAGAAATTGCTGGATGGAGGTGAATACACTCAGCGGTGACTCAAGTGGACAGTGTTCACAGCAATTAATAAATTTTTGACAGAAATACTGAAAAAATACAAACTTCGCGGAATTTGAGCCAAACAACGCACCAAGTAATCAAACCATAAGCGAAAACAGAGTGTATGGGCTCACTCCTTCTGGTTTCTCACGAGAGGTCAACATTTTGAAGAATTTTAAATATATTATGAACGGAGTTGAAAATCCGGTTTTGACCAAGGTTTTGAAGATTTAGAGAGTTTTCAATAGGGATAAGTAAATCAACCAATCGCAAGCAAATTTATTGAAAAGTCTAAAAGTCGTAGTCGACTCAAGAGATCTTTTAGGAATTCGCAAAGTCGACTATCGATTTTCTTCGTAAATACTTGGGTTATTATCAAAAAGCGGAAAATTTTCGAAAATTACACAGCTCAACATTTGATTTTATATGTTGAGAACAAATCATGTAAAAACCAGTAAGGAAAGCAGTAAAGACGGACGGGACCGACTATATGATACCCTTCACCACTTTAGGTATATTCAACAGACGTCGCATTTTTAAAGGACCAGTAAAATAAAATTGGATCCATAAACATGTCATTCTGCAACCGATACTAAATTTTTCATTTGGTCAGATATAGATTTTTACGAAACTAAACACACATAATTCTAGACCTAATTCATTACGCTGTGCTAAATTTCGTGCAAACCGAAAGATATTAAAGGACTTTGGTACACCATTTACCTTAAGTCGGAAGGAAATATATATGGGAGTTATATCTAAATATGAACCGATTTTCACGAAACTTAACACACATCATTCTAGACGAAATTCATTACGCTATGCCAAATTTCGCGCAAATCGAAACGGACGAAATATATATGGGAGCTATATCTATATCTGAACCGATTTTCACGAAATTTAACACACATTATTATAGACCTAATTCATTACGCTGTGCCACATATCGTGCAAAGGGACTTTGGTGCATCATTTACATTAAATCGGACGAAAATATATATGGGAGCTATATCTAAATCTGGACCGATTTTCAGGAAATTTAACACACACAATTCTAGACCTAATTCAGTACTCTGTACCAAATTTCGTGCAAATCGAAAGATATATAGGGACTTTTGTACACCATTTACATTAAATCGGACGAAAATATATATGGGAGCTATATCTAAATCTGAACCGATTTTTCCGAATTTCAATAGGGTTCGTCCTTGGGCCAAATAAGTGAACTATGCCAAATTTCATCCAATTCGGATCATAAATGCGACCTGTACTTTGTTTACAATTTAACATGGACAGACAGACGGATGTGCATAAATCGACTTAAAAAGTGATTCTATGCTTATTCTCAAAAGGAAGAATGTGTCTATCTCGTTTTCTTTTGCCTGTTACAAACATATGCACACAGACATAATACCCTGTACCACAGTGTGGTGAAAGGTATAAAAACGATTATTTTTTGTCGACTTTGTATTAATCGGTAAAAATCGAAAATAGATTTTGAACAATTTTGACAAAATTAAACGATCGAAAATTCGACTTTTTAGTCAAGTGCAAAGGTCAATTTCCTAGTTTCCAACCGAAGTGGCAAAATTTTTATGTGTTTCCGCTCTGACGTACGCAGACTTCACAAAAAATGCCCCGACAGATTTTTGGTGTTTTGAATGCGCACTCGAGTTGGCCCGGTCGAATTTAACAACTTTTCTATAAATTTCATCTTAAATCCGTCATTCCGTTTGTAACACCCCAGAGCATTCAACAGAGACCCGAAACAAACTATATCTTACTAGCATTTTTGTCGCTACTTCATTTTTGCATTTTCAAAACCACCTTTCATATTTCAACACTACTCACCAATTCTGACCGCAACAGAAATATAGCCCCATACTACTTATGGTACCATTTATTAACTTTCGTGCCCTTGTCGTATTCCTCGGTCGGTTTTCTATAGAGCTCTACAGGTTCAACCCAATCATAATTTTACCAAAAATGTTGTAAATGTTGTAATATAAATTCAACAGAAAACATGTTTTAAAATTTAAGGATTCCAGCCCGACCGCTTCCCCCAATTAAAATTGTACCAAATTTAGTACTATTTAGAACACATTTGTACGAATTTCCAAAACTTCCTACATACCTTAGTCCTACACTCCACACCAGTAATGTTAATTCAAAATCTCTAGATTCCTGCTCTATCGGTTAACACAAATTTGGTACCATTTAGTACACTTTAATATAAATTTTCAGTAATACCTACATATCGCAATCCTACAACCCAACAGTGACCCAAGTCCTAATTTATGGTTTTCAGCTTTATCGGCTCACCTAAAATTTAAATTGTACCAAATTTATTACACATTAGTACGATTTTCCAAAAATTACCTACATAGCCCAATTCTACACCCCAACAGTGATACTAACTTTAATTTTTAAGATTCCAGCTCTATTGGTCAAATTCATATTTGGTACCATTTAGTACGCATTAGTACAAGTTTTCGTAACATCCTACATATCCCAATCCTACACCCCGACAATGACCCTAACTTCAAATTTCCGGATACCAACTCTATCGGTTCAACAAAAATTTAAATTGTACCAAATTTTAGCGCAAATTTCCAAAACTACCTACACACAACAATTCTACACCCCAACAAAAATCCCAACCTCAAATTTCACGATTCCAGCTCTATCGGTGTACCCAAATTCATATTGTACTATTTAATACGCATTTAGTACCAAGTTGGAAAACTTTCTACATACCTCAATCGGACACCCCAAAAAAATGATACAAACTCCAAATTTCAAGCTCTATCGGTTCACTCAAATCCAATTTGTACCAAATTTAGTACTAAAAAGCTTCCTACATACCTCACCCAAAATTCAAATTGTATCAAATTTAATACATACAACTATAAATTTCCAATACTTCATACATACCAGAATTCTACACTTCAATATTTATCTAACTACAAATTTGTGGGTTCCAGCTCTATTGATTTATCTAAAATTCAAATTTAGTACCTAAAAGTATTAATTCCCAAAACTACATCCATACCCCAATTCTACACTCTTATTTTCAAATGTTTCAACTCTATCGGTTCACACAAATTCAAATTATTTTACGATTTAGTACTTTTCGTACACATAAGTAAAAAATCAATCCAACACTCCGACGGTAATTATACCCTTCACCATACTGTGGTACAAGGTATTATGTCTTTGTGGATATGTTTGTAACAGGCAAAAATAATCGAGATAGACACATGGTTCCTTTTGATAATATGCATAGAATCGCTTTCTAAGTCGATTTATGCATGTCCGTCTAAGGCAAAGGAAAAATCGGTTCATTAATATAACTCCCATATATATTTTCAAATTCAAATTAATGGTGCACCGAAGTCCCTATATATCTTTCGATTTGCACGAAATTTGGCACAGCGTAATGAATAAGGAATGATGTGTGCAAAGTTTCGTGAAAATCGGTTCAGATTTAGATATAGCTCTCATATATAGCTTCGCCCGATTTTAGGTAAATGGTGCACCAAAGTCCCTATATATCTTTCGATTTGCACAAAATTTGGCACAGCGTACTAAATTAAGACTAGAATGATGTGTGCAAAGTTTCGTGAAAATCGGTTCAGATTTAGATATAGCTCCCATATATAGCTTCGCCCGATTTTAGGTAAGTAGTCCGCTAAAGTCCTTGGAAATCTTTGATGTGCTCGAAATATGGCACGGAGTTATGAATAAGATCGAGAATCATGTCTGCCACGTTTCGTGAAAATCGGTTCAGATTTAGATATAGCTCCCATATGTATTTGCGTCCGATTTAAGGTAATTGGTATATATTATTTGATTTGCACGAAT